AGTTTATATCCCCAAAGCCTGAAATCATTCTTCATTCTGAAGTTCCTATTCACTAATCACAATTTCTGGCTATTTGCAAGACATGTGGAGTAAAGTTTTATGAGGATGGAAAATTAATTACGTTTTGTTAATTCGGTGAGAAACCGGCTATGTACAGCACGTACCCTATCTCATAAAACTTGCTGAAATTAACTGATGTGAGAATTTTCCGACGCCTTAAGCGTCGCGCACTTTTTTTACCCGTCCGACCTCTTCAAGGGAGCGTCTTCTTCTTGTGCAAAAAATCTGTTCACGCAATTTTTCCAAGAAAAATGTTCATAACGTCTGGGCGAAAATGGACGTTGCTATATACCCGGGCAATTTCCTACGCTAATACCTGTCCCAGACTTCGTTTGCGCATTTCGGCGAGTTTTTCTTTGAGAGAAAGGAAATTTACTCTCGAGAGTCTTAATAAGCGGAGAGTGCCGGACTTGAAATTTGACTTTTTGTCCGATGCTAACTGCGGGCATCAGCTTGAAAACACGGTTATTTTGGGAGAAACAGGTGATTTATGGAGTTTTAGGAGCCATATCAGGAGATCTCTGAGATTCGGTGAGTTGAAGTGCAGCAATGACGCACACAGGCAATCCTTTGTAGTGACATTTAAGTCCGTGTTGTTTTAACCAGTTATAATACGCTTGTTAAATAACTTGGCGCAACTTTGAATGAGACAAAGAGCAAAGTCGTCAGCAGGTGAAAATGCACGTGCTAGTTCTTTGTCTCATTCAAAGTTGTGCCAAGTTATTTAGCAAGCGCATTATAACTGTTTAAAACAAAGCGGACTTAAATGTCACTACACCTTCGTCTAAATGGGCTGAAATTGTCTTGCCTTTTGGAAAATTCTGCTTATTGTCACAGAAGTGACCACCACCAAATAGTAATTTTCAGTTTTAAACGTATGAAACATCACCTTGTGTGCAGCCTATCTTCTACACATACCTAATTCAGAAATGGAACGAACCAGCCATTAGCAGTTTAAGCAAAATATCTGTGTTTATATGGGTATTCTGCCGTACATTCATAGTCGTTGAGCGCCACATAAAATTGAGCAATGATAGCGAAAATAGACGCAATATAAACACAGAGCTATGTTCTTGCGTTTACGGTATAAATATATCAGTATTTTGTAGCAATATGAGTGAAACGACCAAAAGTGTCAGGTTTTTCTTTGTCGTACCGTCCAAAAATGCAAAATACACAGAGATTCGTCAACGGAGTGCAGTATTAAAGCACTGCTCAAAGAGGACTTATCAGAAAAAGTTTTATAATTGATCTAAGGCATATTCGTTACTGACTTTCGTTGTGGACGTTCATTTTATTCAATGATGAGGTTTCTTGTTTGAGAGAGTCTTCAAATATGACCCAAGGTACCGTCTAAACTAAAAAGAACAACCAAAGATCCGCTAATTCAGTAAATACCTCCAAGAAGTACCTTATTTTAGGGTTTTAACAGACACAATATGGAACCTGTCTCTATGGGCGATCAGATGAAAACACAGAAACTAATAATGTATTCAGCGATAAGTCAAGGCCGATTCGAAACTCAGCGTAATCCTGAACAAACGAAAAGTAAAATTTATTTCACAAAAGAAAAGTTCTCTTTATATACACAAAATGGTATGTTTACAATTACACCTGTCAATTCTGTTTACATTTGTTAGGCACTGATCAACCCGGAAGTATAAAAACGTTTGTTCCTATGACGTACCTATCGGTGAAATCAAGCAAAATTCTGATTCTTCTACTGAACTGCATCTCA